ACTTCGACATGATTAATTACTTATTTTGCTTTGTTTAAAAAGTTATTAAAGAAACTAGAAGAGGACGACAATAATCTTCAACGCACGTCTTTGTATATATATTTAATAATAATTTTCAGTTAAATGATGACAGAAAATTTTAAGTGAATTAAAAATCTTATATATAGTTTTAATAAATACATATATATCTGCAAATATGTTTTTATCAATTTACTCTGAAAAACAGCAGAAATTGTCGCCTATATAAACAAAATATCATATTTTGTAGATCTTATTTTGTATGAATGAATGTCTTGAAAATATAAATCATCTCTTAATCTCATCTATGCATGTTATATATTATTCGATGCAATTTGTTTTGAAAACACAATAAATATATATCTCTTGTTATGACAGTAAGAATAGTTTTAAATTGAAGAATTCAAAATTGTAGATTAAATATATAGTCGCATATTTGAGATTACAATTCTTCTGTAAACTTTTTAAAACATATACAGAAGATTGTGGTACATGCCTTTTAAAAAAATTTGAAAAAATTTGAAAAAATATTTATTTATGTTTTCAAATAAAAAATGTTGCAATATAATTAAATTTAAAAAATACATTTAAATTAATTTAAATCATGTAATAATTAATAAATATAATTCCATAATAGATACATTAAGTCACATTTAGTATGTTACATTATATATTCTTGGTATTCTCTGTTTAACTTTGCATTACCTTTATAGTTTATAGCAGATGCGAAAGTTTTAGTTTTTAGTTTTTATATATAAAATCTATCTCAATATCGTAATATGTATTTCAAAACTGGAGTAATTTCATAATGTGTGACTTTTCATGTAATTTGGGATCATATCATATTGAAAAGCAGAAACTTTTATCCGAATATGGACTTCGAAATAAGTAGTCCTCTTCGATTACTATAAAAGTTAGAGGAGGAACATTTTTAACGAAATAAAAGAAAGAAAAAAAAAAAGATGAGTAACATTCTTCTTCACTACACTTAAGATTTTTTCTTCAGGAATCTTATTACGATTGATGAAAATTTAGTTTTATTGATAATCTTCAAAACGGTTTTGTCTGATATGTAAACTGTGCAGTAAATTTGTACTAGAATCGGGTGTTAGCAATTTCCTTTTAATGATATACGGTCAGTTTCCGGATGCTCAGTTTCGCTTTTCCCGAAGTACAGAGAATACTTTACTTCTAAACTTTACATTTCTTATCGAAATTGTAGAAATATTATGACGGTCAATTCTTTGTGTAGCTTTTAATATAAAGTAGTACATACAGAAAAGGCAAAAAAGATAGAAATTAGGAAGTAAATATTCTTAATTATGTTGTGTACCTAGAAGTAAAAGAATAATCTGTTATACTACAGAGAAATAAAGTTTCGTATTGCCTATAGTTTGATTTAGGATTATCATTTTACAAATTAGATCTTTACAAATAAAAGTCATTTTTCATTGCTCACACATATTAATTTTTTATTCTAAATTTTTTACAATAATCTTCTATTAATATAAAATATGCGTACTGTAACGATTAATCTATTAATTAATTCAGATGATATCCTATTAATTTTTTACAATATTTTTACTTAATTATTTTAATACTGTATATTATAACGTTATAAATATAACGTGATGAGTGTAAAAAATATGAGTCTAGATGTGACATATGTATCGTTATATACACATGATATGGTTTTTCGTAAAACTATATTTTTTACAAAGAAGCGTAGTCTTTTTTGTAAATGCTAATCTTTCTAGATTATCATTTTATAAAAAATTTACTTTCTACATAAATGCTAAATTTATGAAAAGCTTGCAAAATATATATAATTATATATGTATATTACATTAACATATAAAACTTATATTACATATAAATTATATATATATAAACATGTAAAATATGAACATATATATTTATAAATTTATTATATATTATATATTATATATATATATATATATATATATAATATAAATATAAATGTGTGTGTGTGTGTGTGTGTGTGTGTGTGTGTGTGTGTGTGTGTGTGTGTGTGTGTGTGTTGCGTTTGAGTGTATTTCGCAAACTGTTTATAAATTACTTGTAGTATAATTTTATTCGAAAAATTTTGAGAGTTATGATATATTATCGTATAATAATATATTATTATTATTTTTTTTTATTAAAAACATTATTTTACTTTTCTAATCCATATATGTTTATATATATTACTAATCCCATGAAATATGTCGGAACAAATTATTGATTCTTGCCGAATATAACATATTCATCACATATTCATCACAATATAATAAAAAAATGACAGTATAAAGAAATATAAGACCGTATTGATAAATGATAACAAGTTAATATAATTTTAGATTACGGATATATTTATATTATATTATGGATTATTTAAGATATATTTATATCAAAGATTTAGAAATTTAAAAATCACGAGCGAACTCGTAAATTGTCTTTAATGTAATAACAACGCGATGAAGGTAATTTAAAAAAAAGTAAGTTATGTGAAAATCTATGTAAAAAATTTGAAGCTTCTAAATTGAGAAAATATAAACATGTTTAAAATATATTTTAAAAAAGTACTATAAAATATATTATAAAAATATATTATAAAATATATACCATCACGAATTACAATAATTTTAGGTATTGAAATCTACGTTCTGCAACAGATACAGTTTTATATTTGCTTTATATTTGTCCATTGTTGTCATTTAATTTTTTTTAGAGAGTCATATTTATCAAAATATGTATTTTTTGTACATACACAAATCAATATTAATTGTTGATAAAAGAAGTCTAACAAATTTTTTTTATTTAGGCACGGACTAAGACGGAAAGTTTATGGAAAGATATCATCGAATTTTTTAACGTTTTGTTGATACTATTTTTCATCGTTAATTAAGACAAAATCATAGATCATTTGATCTAAATGATTCAGTCACATTATAATTAAAATATTAATAAGTATTGTGTTCTCAATTTCTTGTATTCCAAAATAAAACACATAATCATTGTGCGAACTTAGAACTTTATCCTTACTAAGCGAAGTAGCATTTTTGTGCTACATTGAAGTAACACACGTACTCCGTTTCATTCGGCGTGACATCGTTCATAAACTGGCTGACTGCATCATGATTGGAGAAACTATGAAATTTGAAACCATCTGTCACTTCTACAATCTGCAAAACATAAAGCTTATGACATATAAATATTTCGTGATGTATCATAAAAAATGAAGTATTAACATTGTCAATAATGTTACAATAGTCGAGATAACAAGCAGGAAATTTTACAATATGATATATTAATTTACCTAACATGGATAGCGGAGATTTTAAAACTGCATGTAAATGATAATTAATTTGGAAATATAAAAGCAGAAAAAATAAAACTAGAATTCGTAATTTAATCATGTTCCATTTAACAATGAAAAATTTAAAAACAATGATTTAAAAATAACGCTTGTTTATATGTAACAAGTAACTTACAGGCCCCTCATTTCTCAAACGTCCGAAATAATGGATTGGCGTGTTGACTAATGCACCAACAGTTATTAGATTTCTTTTTAATTCATGACATCTTAACCATCTGTAAAAATCTAGTCTTGTAGGAAACCTTTCCGGATAATTTTCTGGTGTAATAAGTTGCATCACTCGTCCTCCATTTGTCATAACCACGCCACCTAGACCTATTATATGAAAAATTTAATTATTTATAGATGAAATATTTTTATCAAACAACTTCATTATAGTTCATTAATCTCTTTATTCAATTAATCAAACTATACTCTTATATAGATAATTTTTTACCAATTCTTTTATCGTTTTGATAATGACAATAATGATAGAGACAACTTTGTATTAATGTTATGATATCATTGGTTCTGCGACCTTTAGCGCGCACTTCAATTACGTTTCCTGGTTTGCCTTCACTGAGAAAGAAGGTACCCAACATAGAACATTTCATTTCATTGGGATCGTTGATGGTTTTCAATATTCTTTCCCCAGTATTAGCTTCCTCATAACCGATACGACTATTATTAATAACATTTTCAGGTGGCGAGATTGTTGCGTTAATAATAAACTATAACAGAAATGGGTTTTTATAATGAGAGAGAGAAAGAGAGAGAGAGAGAGAGAAATATAATAAGTTAAGTTAGGGGTATTAAAATTAGTGATAAATATAATTACATTAATGTATATAGCAAGATATATTGTAAAAATGAAGCAATAAACTGTTTCTGCATTCTATTTCTTTTATAGTAGCCGATACGTTCTATTTTGTGTGAAAATTATCGATAATACATACATGACCGTTGGCAGGCATAGATTCCTTCGCGGCATAACCTGCTCCAATGACAAAGAAATTGTTGCAACGTTGTAGTAATAGACGTCGAATATTATATGTAGAATTTAATATTGGGGCGGGCACTAAGTTTCGTACCGTACCCGTTACTAAAATAGATGGATTACCAGATAGTCCTATTAAAATATAAATGTGTTATATTTATAACACAGAAAGTCAAGAATGTTTATTATTATTCTTACCAACTGTGGCAAGATTGTATGGCGGTCGGGTTAAACAAGGGCAGCTAGCAATCTTAATTTCAAATTCGTCGAATAATTGATGCAGTCCAATGTATAGAACTATATTTTTACGTATAAAGAGAAATATATAAAATATCACATATTTTAATTGACTAATGAATTTCATATACGTACCATTTTTTATGTGTTCGAGAGATAATGAATTCAAGCTCCTTGACATGATATTTTGACCTTCATCTTCAGGATCATTGGCATAATCATTGGGTATATTTCCACCCGGATTTTCACCTTCATTAATATGGTTTAGTCTCATATCATCTTCAAATCTCATGTTATCTTCTCCAATGACATTGTTTGGTTCAATATCATCTTCAAATTCCACATTATCTTCTCCAATGACATTATTTGGTTCAATATCATCTTCAAATCTCATGTTATCTTCTCCAATGACATTGTTTGGTTCAATATCATCTTCAAATTCCACGTTATCTTCTCCAATGACATTGTTTGGTTCAATATTATCTTCAAATCTCATGTTATCTTCTCCAATGACATTGTTTGGTTCAATATCATCTTCAAATTCCATGTTATCTTCTCCAATGACATTGTTTGGTTCAATATCATCCTCATTTTCGAGATGATTATTTTCTCTTAAAGCGTCATCGTTTGGTATAATATCATTTTCAATTTCTATATGATTATCTCTTCCAATGGCATTATCGTTCGGTCGAATATCATTCTCATCTTCGTGATGATTATTGGGGACAGGACGCGGAATGGGCTCCATGATGCTCGATTTATGACGGACGAGATAACTATGAAATTATTAAATATTGTTAAAAAGGTTATCAAATTATGAAGAGAGTAAAACGTATTGGAGTATTATCTCCTATTTTTAAAGATAATAGTATATTATATTAATTTTGTATTATAATATACATTCAGAAATGCACACAAAATTATATGATTTGAATGTGTAAATCCGGTAATAACAAAGAAAGTTCGCTTCTTACGTAGATTAAATAGATCGTTTCTTTAATTGAATATTATTTTTGTTTTAAAAAAGGTATATATTTGTATAGACTAATCGTTCCTTGCATTTTTTATAATGTATATATGTTAAAATAATGTCGTTAAATGATTAAAAATTTACGAGATATTGTATAATCATGTACTGTGTACATCTTCTAATACGTACGAATATAAAACATATAGTATACGAGTACTTATCTCTCTAAATATGATATAGATATTATATATTATATATTATATACTTACGTAAAATTTATGATTTAGATCGAGATATTAATTAATATTATCGTCGAAACCACGTTTTTCCTTTCATAGATCGCAGATAAGAATAACTACGCGGTGCGTTTCGAGGAGAACTGTTGTTTTAAATGTAACAGAAAACGGAAGAAGTATACAAATTATAAAATGAACGGTCACAATAACAAGTCAATATGAGGTTAAAGAAGTTTTGAATTTACCAGCAAATTTGAGAATGTAAATTCTTATATTATATTATTCTTATCGTATTCTTCAAATAAAAAGATGGTTTGAACTCGTAATTAAATTCATAAAATTTCTTTAATTTTTGGATTTAATATTTAAATTCGAGTTAAAATATGTTTTTGCGAAATTTAAAGAATTTTTTGTGAAATCAATTGTACACACAAGCGCAAACACACACATATATATACATATGTATAATATTTATGTAATATGTACATAATAATTTTAATTATTTTTACCACATATACACATATAATTTTTATATGCAGATTATTATGCAATAGTCATTATGCAATAGCCATTATCATTTTTTATGTAAATTATTATGCAGTAGCTATTAAGAGGAAAGAGGAAAAGGAAGATACTATATTTCATAAAGGACTACTATATAGTGTCATAAAGGAAAATACTATATTTGAGATACTATGCTCAGCTTTTTTCGAATTACAAAGAATATTTTACTTCTAAACTTTACCTTTCCTATATAAATTGTAGAAACATTGTAACGGCAAATTCTTGTTGCTTTCGTATTGCTTTTAATATAAAAAGTACAAACAGAAAAAGCGTAAAAGATAGAAATTAGGAAGTAAATTAGGAAGTAAATATTGCTAATTAAGTTGTGTACGTAGAAGTAAAAGAATAATCTATTATACGACAGAGAAATAAAGTTTTGTATTGCCTCTAGTTTGATTTAAGATTACTATTTTACAAATTAGATATTTACAAATAAAAGTCATTTTTCATTGTTCACACATAATCTTTTATTCTAAATTTTCTACAATAATCTTCTATTAATATAAAATATGCGTACTTTAACGATTAATATAATTGATTCAGATGATATCTTATTTATTTTTTACAATATTTTTTACATAATTATTTTAATACTGTATATTATAACGTGATAAACATAACGCAATAAGTATAAAAGAATATGAGTTTATTAGATGTGATAACATATGTATCGTTATATAAATATGATATGGTTTTTCGTAAAACTATATTTTTTATAAAAATGCTCAGTCCTTTTTATAAATGCTAAAAAATCTTTATAGATTATCGTTTCATACAAAGTTTAGCTTCTACGAAAATACTAAATTTATGAAAAGCTTGCGAAATATACAGGTATATAATTACATATGTACATAATTACATATAAATTATATAAACATGTAAAATATGTATATATATATTTATAAATTTATTATTTATATTATATATATCATTTTATCATATATATAATATATAATATATATATGTATACACACATATGTGTGTGTGTGTGTGTGTGTGTGTGTGTATTCCACAAACTTTTTATAAATTCCTTGTAGTATAATTTTACTCTGAATATTTTCAGAGTTATAGTATATTATATATATATATATATATATATATATATATATATATATATATACATACATGGATTACAAAAGTAAAATAACGTTTCTAATAAAAAAAATAATAGAAATATATTACAATATTATATATATATGTATATATATATATATATATATATATATATACATATATATATAATATTGTAATATATTTCTATTATTTTTTTTATTAGAAACGTTATTTTACTTTTGTAATCCATGTATGTATATATTATTAATCTATTATATTATTAATCTATGATATATCTATATATTATCAATCCTATGAAATGTGTCAGCACATATTATTGATTCTTCCTGAATATAATATATTCATCCAAATATAATAAAAGAATGACAGTATAAACAAATATAAGACTGTATCGATTATAAATGATAATAAGTTAACATAATTTTAAATTATAGATATATGTATTGTATATTTATAGATATAGATTTATAGATATTTATAGATATATCTATATTTAAATATATATAAATATAATCTGTATATAAATATAGATTATCTATATATAAATATATAGATATATTTATATATATTTATATATAGATATATCTATATTTATATTTAAATTATAGTTATATCAATGACTTAGAAATTTAATTTTAACAAGTAATTTTAACAAAAAGTAAATCATGTGTAAATCTATATGTAAAAATTTGAAGCTTCTAAATTGAGAATATAAGTATAAACATATTTAAATATAAACATATTTAAAATATACTATCAACGAATTACAATAATTTTAAAATATTGAAATCTACGTCCTGCAATAGATGCGGTTTTATATTTGTGTTATATTTGTTGATTGTTGTCATTTAATTTTTTTTAGAGGTCATATTTATCAAAATGTACTTTTTGTACATACACAAATCAATATTAATTGTTGATAAAAGAAGTCTAACAAATTTTTTATATTTAGACAAGGACTAAGACGGAAAGTTTATGAAAAGATATCATCGAATTTTTTAACGTTTTGTTGATACTATTTTTCATCGTGAATTAAGACAAAAACATAGATTATTTAATCTAAATGATTCAGTCACATTATCAAAATATTAATCAGTACTGAGTTTCTAATTTCTTGTCTTCTAAAATAAAACAGATAATCTTTGCGAAATTAGAAATTATTCTTAGACATCCGTATACAATTTTTGTGCTACATTGAAGTAACACACGTACTCCGTTTCATTCGGCGTGACATCGTTCATATACTGGCCGACTGCATCATGATTGGAGAAACTATGAAATTTGAAACCATCTGTCATTTCTAAAATCTGCAAAACATAAAGCTTATGACATATAAATATTTCATGATGTATCATAAAAAATGAAGTATTAACATTGTCAATAATGTTACAATAGTCGAGATAACAAGCAGGAAATTTTACAATATGATATATTAATTTACCTAACATGGATAGCGGAGATTTTAAAAATGCATATAAATGATAATTAATTTGGAAATATAAAAGCAGAAAAAATAAATCTAGAATTCGTAATTTAATCATGCTTCATTTAAAAATGAAAAATTTAAAAACAATGATTTAAAAATATCGCATTTTTATACGTAACAAGTAACTTACAGGCCCCTCATTTCTCAAACGTCCTAAAGAATGGATTGGCACCGAGTTGACTAATGCACCAACAGTTATTAGATTTCTTTTTAATTCATGACATCTTAACCATCTGTAAAAATCTATTATTGTACGACACCTTTCCGGATAATTTTCTGGTGTAATAAGTTGCATCACTCGTCCTCCATTTGTCATAAGCACGCCACCTAGACCTATTATATGAAAAATTTAATTATTTATAGATGAAATATTTTTATCAAACAATTTCATTATAGTTCATTAATCTCTTTATTCAATTAATCAAACTATACTCTCATATAGATAATTTTTTACCAATATCTTTATCGGGTTGATAACGTTCGAGACAACTTTGTATTAATGTTATGATATCATAATTGGTTCTGCGACCTTTAGCACGCACTTCAATTACGTTTCCTGGTTTGCCTTCACTGAGAAAAAAGGTACCCAACATAGAACATTTCATTTTATTGGGATCGTTGATGGTTTTCAATATTCTTTCCCCAGTATTAGCTTCCTCATAACCGATACGACTATTATTAATAACATTTTCAGGTGGCGAGATTGTTGCGTTAATAGTAAACTATAACAGAAATGGATTTTTATATTGAGAGAGAGAAAGAGAGAGAGAGAGAGAGAGAGAGAAATATAATAAGTTAAGTTAGGGGTATTAAAATTAGTGATAAATATAATTACATTAATGTATATAGCAAGATATATTGTAAAAATGAAGCAATAAACTGTTTCTGCATTCTATTTCTTTTATAGTAGCCGATACGTTCTTTTTTGTGTGAAAATTATCGATAATACATACATGACCGTTGGCAGGCATAGATTCCTTCGCGGCATAACCTGCTCCAATGACAAAGAAATTGTTGCGACGTTGTAGTAATAGACGTCGAATATTATATGTAGAATTTATTATTGGGACGGGCACTAAATTTCGTACCCTACCCGTTACTAAAATAGATGGATTACCAGATAGTCCTATTAAAATATAAATGTGTTATATTTATAACACAGAAAGTCAAGAATGTTTATTATTATTCTTACCAACTGCGGCAAGATTGTATGGCGATCGGGTTAAACAAGGGCAGCTAGCTACCTTAATTTCAAATTCGTCGAATAATTGATGCAGTCCAATGTATAGAACTATATTATTAAGTATAAAGAGAAATATATAAAATATCACATATTTTAATTGACTAATGAATTTCATATACGTACCATTTTTTATGTGTTCGAGAGATAATGAATCGAGCAGGTAGCTCACTGATATGACATCTTGATCTTCATCTTCAGGATCACTGGCATAACCATTGGGTATATTTTCACCTGGGTTTTCACCTTCATTAATATGGTTTGGTTCAATATCATTTTCAAATCTCATGTTATCTTCTCCAATGACATTGTTAGGTTCAATATCATCTTCAAATTCTACGTTATCTTCTCCAATGACATTGTTTGGTTGAATATCATCTTCAAATCTCATGTTATCTTCTCCAATGACATTGTTTGGTTGAATATCATCTTCAAATCTCATGTTATCTTCTCCAATGACATTGTTTGGTTCAATATCATCTTCAAATTCTACGTTATCTTCTCCAATGACATTGTTTGGTTCAATATTATTTTCATTTTCGAGATTATTATTTTCTCTTAAAGCGTCACCGTTTGGTATATCATTTTCAATTTCTATATGATTATCTCTTCCAATGGCATTATCGTTTGGTCGAATATCATTTCCATCTTCGTGATGATTATTGGGGACAGGACGCGGAATAGGCTCCATGATGCTCGATTTATGACGGACGCGATATTATGAGATAACTATGAAATTATTAAAAATTTTTAAAAAGATTATCAAATTATGAAGAGAGTAAAACGTATTGGAGTATTATCTCCTATTGTTAAAGATAATAGTATATTATATTAATTTTGTATTATAATATACATTCAGAAATGCATACAAAATTATATGATTTGAATGTGTAAATCCGGTAATAACAAAGAAAGTTCGCTTCTTACGTAGATTAAATAGATCGTTTCTTTAATTGAATATTATTTTTGTTTTAAAAAAGGTATATATTTTAATAGACTAATCGTTCCTTGCATTTTTTATAATGTATATATGTTAAAATAATATCGTTAAATGATTAAAAATTTACGAGGTATTATATAATCATGTACTATGTACATCTTCTAATATGTACGAATACAAAACACATAGTATACTTCTCTCTAAATATGATATAGATATTACTTCTCTCTAAATATGATATAGATATTATATATTTAGACTTACGTAAAATTTATGATTTAGATCGAGATATTAATTAATATTATCGTTGAAATCACGTTTCTTCTTTCATAGATCGCAGATAAGAATAACTACGCGGAGCGTTTCGAGGAGAACTGTCGTTTTAAATGTAACAGAAAACGAAAGAAGTATACAAATTATAAAATTAACGGTCACAATAACAAGTCAATATGAGGTTAAAGAAGTTTTGAATTCACCAGCAAATTTGAAAATGTAAATTCTTACAATATATTATTCTTATCATATTTTTCATATAAAAAGATGATTTGAATTCGTAATTAAATTCATAAAATTTCTTTAATATTATGGATTTAAAATTTAATTTCGAGTTAAAATGTGTTTTTGCGAAATTTAAAGAATTTCTTGTAAAGTCAATTGTACACACAAGCGCAAACACACACACACACACACACACACACACACACACACACATATGTATAATATACATATATATAATATTTATATAATATGTCCGAGTAGTACATAATAATTTTAATTACTTTTATCACATATACACATATAATTTTTTTATGTAGATTATTATGCAATATTCATGCAAAAGCCATTATCCTTTTTTTATGTAAATTATAAAAAATACCGGAACGGTGAAATATCTCGAAAACTAAGAATTTCAGAAAAAAATGTTTCAGATAAAAGTTGTAGGATTTCAAAAGATTTATTTACTGGCGCTATGAGTTTAACCTCGGGTAACGTCGCCAAGATCAGAGCAAGGTCACCAAGAATTTTTTAAACGAATTTTTTCAATCTTCAAAACGTTCTCGTCTTTTCCGACTTCTATTTATACATACATGATATGTAAATAGTGCAGTAAAATTTGTACGAGAATCTGGTGTTAGCAATTTTCTTCTAATGGTATATGGTCAGTTTCCGGATGCTTAGTTTTGCTTCTTCCGAATTACGAAGAATACTTTACTTCTAAACTTTACATTTCCTATAAAAATTGTAGAAACATTATAACGGTAAATTCTTTGTGTTGCTTTTAATATAAAGAAGTACAAACAAAAGAGTGTAAAAGATAGAAATTATAAAATAAATATTATTAATTAAGTTGTGTACAGAAGTAAAATAATAATTTATAATACTACAGAGAAATAAAGTTTCGTATTGCCTATAGTTTGATTTAAGATTACTATTTTACAAATTAGATCTTTAGAAATAAAAGTCATTTTTCATTGCTCACACATATTAATTTTTTATTCTAAATTTTTTACATTAATCTTCTATTAATATAAAATATGCGTACTGTAACGATTAATATATTAATTAATTCAGATGATATCCTATTAATTTTTTACAATATTTTTAATTAATGATTTTAATACTGTATATTATAACGTTATAAATATAACGTGATGAGTGTAAAAAATATGAGTCTAGATGTTACACATGTATCGTTATATAAACATGATATGGTTTTTCGTAAAACTATATTTTTTACAAAGAAGCGTAGTCTTTTTTATAAATGCTAATCTTTATAGATTATCATTTTATAAAAAATTTACTTTCTACATAAATACTAAATTTATGAAAAGCTTGCAAAATATATATAATTATATATGTATATTAACATATAAAAATTATATAATATAATATAATTATATAATATATGTATATTAACATATAAAAATTATATTACATATAAATTATATATATATTATATATATATTATATATATATTATATACATATAAATTATATATATATAAACATGTAAAATATGAACATATATATTTATAAATTTATTATAAATTATATATATATATATATATATATATATATATATATATAATAATATATATATATATATAATAATATATATATATAATATATAAATATATATAATATATAAATATAAATATAAATATGTGTGCGTGTGTGTGTGCGTGTGCGTGTGCGTGTGCGTGTGCGTGTGCGTGTGCGTGTGCGTGTGCGTGTGTGTGTGTGTGTGTGTGTGTTGCGTGTGAGTGTATTTCACAAACTTTTTATAAATTACTTGTAGTATAATTTTATTCGAAAAATTTTGAGAGTAATGATATATTATCGTATAATAATATATTATTATTAATTTTTTTATTAAAAACATTATTTTACTTTTCTAATCCATATATGTTTATATATATTACTAATCCCATGAAATATGTCGGGACAAATTATTGATTCTTGCCGAATATAACACATTCATCACAATATAATAAAAAAATGACAGTATAAACAAATATAAGACCGTATTGATAAATGATAACAGGTTAATATAATTTTAGATTATGGATATATTTATATTTAAGATATATTTATATCAAAGATTTAGAAATTTAAAAATCACGAGCGAACTCGTAAATTGTCTTTAATGTAATAACAACGCGATGAAGGTAATTTAAAAAAAAGTAAGTTATGTGTAAATCTATGTAAAAAATTTGAAGCTTCTAAATTGAGAAAATATAAACATATTTAAAATATATTTTAAAAAAGTACTATAAAATAAATTATAAAAATATATTATAAAATATATACCATCACGAATTACAATAATTTTAGGTATTGAAATCTACGTCCTGCAATAGATACAGTTTTATATTTGCTTTATATTTGTCCATTGTTGTCATTTAATTTTTTTTAGAGAGTCATATTTATCAAAATATGTACTTTTTGTACATACATAAATCAATATTAATTGTTGATAAAAGAAGTCTAACAAATTTTTTTTATTTAGGCACGGACTAAGACGGAAAGTTTATGGAAAGATATCATCGAATTTTTTAACGTTTTGTTGATACTATTTTTCATCGTTAATTAAAACAAAATCATAGATCATTTGATCTAAATGATTCAGTCACATTATAATTAAAATATTAATATGTATTGTGTTCTCAATTTCTTGTATTCCAAAATAAAACATATAATCATTGTGCGAACTTAGAACTTTATCCTTTCTAAGCGAAGTAGCATTTTTGTGCTACATTGAAGTAACACACGTACTCCGTTTCATTCGGCGTGACATCGTTCATAAATTGGCCGACTGCATCATGATTGGAGAAACTATGAAATTTGAAACTATCTGTCACTTCGAAAATCTGCAAAACATAAAGCTTGTGACATATAAATATTTCGTGATGTATCATAAAAAATGAAGTATTAACATTGTCAATAATGTTACAATAGTCGAGATAACAAGCAGGAAATTTTATATAAAATTTTATATGACATATTTTATATGATATATTTTATATGATATATTTTATATGATATATTTTATATGATATATTTTATATGATATATTAATTTACCTAACATGGATAGCGGAGATTTTAAAAATGCATGTAAATAATAATTAATTTGGAAATATAAAAGCAGAAAAAATAAGACTAGAATTCGTAATTTAATCATGTTCCATTTAACAATGAAAAATTTAAAAACAATGATTTAAAAATAACGCTTGTTTATATGTAACAAGTAACTTACAGTCCCCTCATTTCTCAAATGTCCGAAATAATGGATTGGCATGTTGGCTAATGCACCAACAGTTATTAGATTTCTTTTTAATTCATGCCATCTTAACCATCTGTAAAAATCTTGTAATGTACGAAACCTTTCCGGATAATTTTCTGGTGTAATAAGTTGCATCACTCGTCCTCCATTTGTCATAAGCACACCACCTAGACCTAAAATATGAAAAATTTAATTATTTATAGATGAAATATTTTTATCAAACAATTTCATTATAGTTCATTAATCTCTTTATTCAATTAATCAAACTATACTCTCATATAGATAATTTTTTACCAATATCTTTATCGTTTTGATAATGATAGAGACAACTTTGTATTAATGTTATAATATAATCACTGGTTCTGCAACCTTTAGCGCGTACTTCAATTACGTTTCCTGGTCTGCCTTCGCTGAGATAGAAGTTGCCCAACATAGAACATTTCATTTCATTGGGATCGTTGATGATTTTCAATATTCTTTCCCCAGTATTAGCTTCCTCATAACCGATACGACTATTATTAATAACATTTTCAGGTGGCGAGATTGTTGCGTTAATAATAAACTATAACAGAAATGGGTTTTTATAATGAGAGAGAGAAAGAAAAAGAGAGAGAGAGAAATATAATAAGTTAAGTTAGGGGTATTAAAATTAGTGATAAATATAATTACATTAATGTATATAGCAAGATATATTGTAAAAATGAAGCAATATACTGTTTCTGCATTGTATTTCTTTTATAGTAGCCGATACGTTATTTTTGTGTGAAAATTATCGATAATACATACATGACCGTTGGCAGGCATAGATTCCTTCGCGGCATAACCTGCTCCAATGACAAAGAAATTGTAGCAACGTTGTAGTAATAGACGTCGAATATTATTTGTAGAATTTTTTATTGGGACGGGCATTAAGTTCTTTACATTACCCGTTATTAAAATAGATGGATTACCAGATAGTCCTATTAAAATATAAATGTGTTATATTGTATTTATAACACAGAAAGTCAAGAATGTTTATTATTATTCTTACCAACTGCGGCAAGATTGTATGGCGGTCGGGTTAAACAAGGGCAGCTAGCTACCTTAATTTCAAATTCGTCGAATAATTGATGCAATCCAACGTATAGAACTATATTGTTACGTATAAAGAGAAATATATAAAATATCACATATTTTAATTGAATAATGAATTTCATATACGTACCATTTTTTATGTGTTCGAGAGATAATGAATCCAACGGGTAGCTCTTTGACATGACATCTTGACCTTCATCTTCAGGATCGCTGGCATAACCATTGGGTATATTTCCACCTGGATTTTCACCTTCATTAATATGGTTTGGTCTCATATCATTTCCAAATCTCATGTTATCTTCTCCAATGACATTGTTTGGTTCAATATCATCTTCAAATTCCACGTTATCTTCTCCAATGACATTGTTTGGTTGAATATCATCTTCAAATCTCATGTTATCTTCTCCAATGACATTGTTTGGTTCAATATCATCTTCAAATCTCATGTTATCTCCTCCAATGACATTGTTTGGTTCAATATCATCTTCAAATCTCATGTTATCTCCTCCAATGACATTGTTTGGTTCAATATCATCTTCATTTTCGAGATGATTATTTTCTCTTAAAGCGTCACCGTTTGGTATAATATCATTTTCAATTTCTATATGATTATCTCTTCCAATGGCATTATCGTTCGGTCGAATATCATTTCCATCTTCGTGATGATTATTGGGGACAGGACGCGGAATAGGCTCCATGATGCTCGATATATGACGGACACGATATTACGAGATAACTATGAAATTATTAAAAATTGTTAAATGATTATCAAATTGAGAGAGTAAAACGTATAATGGGGTATTATCTCGTATTTTTTAATATAAAAGTATATTATATTAATTTTGTATTTTAATATACATTCAGAAACGCGCACAAAATTATATGATTTGAATGGGTAAATCCGGTAATAACAAAGAAAGTTCGCTTATTATGTAGATTAAATAGATCATTTCTTTAATTGAATATTATTTTTGTTTTAGAAAAGATATATATTTCTATAAACTAATCGATTCCTTGCATCTTTCATATTGCATATATATTAAAATAATATCGTTAAATGATTAAAAATTTACGAGATGTTACATAATCTTATTGCACACATCTGCTAATACGAACAAATACACAACATATATACTTCTCTCTCTATAATATAAATATTATATATTCAGACTTACGCAAATTTATGGTATTTAATTCGTGATATTAATTAATATTATCATTGAAATCACGTTTTTCCTTTCATAGATCGCTAGATATGAGTAACTACATAGCACGTTTCAAGAAGAACTGTTGTCTTAAATGTAACAGAAAGAGTAAACAAAACATTAGATTAGCTGTTACAATGATAAGTAAGATAAAGGTTAAATCAATTTTGAATTCATTCCACAACACACACACAAACTGAAATATAAATTCTTATTTATTCTTCAAATAAAAAGAGATGATTTGGACGAGATGTTAAATTCATAAACTTTTTTTTGCTTTACATGCTTGAAATTTGACTTCAAGTTATTAACGCTTTTCCCAAAACTTAAAATGGTTTATTACCTGGTGAAATCATTATCTTTTAACGTGTTAATACTTTATATATAATTTTTACATGGTATATATATATATATATATATATATATATACACGTACATATAAATAATATTTATACATAATGTACAAAATATATTTAATTATTTTTACTACACATACATCAAATTTTTTTGTAAATTATTATGCAAAACTTATGTAAGAAAGCTAAAATTACTTAAAAAATTTTAATAAATTTTAAAATATACCTTTTAGTATACTTCTAGTGAAGTTAATATATCTAATAGACTTTTGAAAATAATATGTTTGAGAGCCTTTGGAAACGTAAATATAACAAATTTTAAGAGTGTAGCGTATATATTATACATATAATCTTAAGCACATTTTTTAAAAGAAAAAACTCCAAACATACATTAAATGCTGAGCACAAAGATTAATTAATTATGCCTAAAAGATACTGTGATGATGATATTTATTTACATGGAATATAAAATGTACTTTTATTTTCTTACAGATATTCATCTGTCTTAATTTATATATATAATTTCCTTAAATTTTAAATAATTTTCTTACGTTATTACGAAAAGAAATAAATGCCTAAATAATTAGCGCCGTCAATATGGCAAGAGTAAGGATATCGCACGCGACTGATGACACAAAGTTCTCTTTCGAAGAACCTCAGTCAGGCAAACAAATAGCCGGAATTCATTATCGGAGTGTTGACGGGTACTCCTCGGAGTGGATCAATATAAGTTCCTAAGACCTTCGTTTCCTCTCGTCGCGTATTTGCTTCGAAGTACTCTCTTCGAAATCTCGATTTTCGCGAGAAAGAGAATGCATCTATCTTATTCATTATACACATCGGAAATTTTAGCGACTTTCTGAGAAATTAAATTCTTTCCTCAAATGTAATGTAACATAAATAAAATAAGAGACATCAGTCTATTGAAACAATATTACTTATATCATTCAAAATTAGAACATTCATAGAAGAAAAGAAAAATGTGCGTGTATTACATTTTCATGATTAAGTTGATTTTAATAGATGGTAATGACATACGTAATATATTATAATTAGATTTATTAGATTTCTAAAATCTAATAAAAATTCGATAGATGTAACGGATGTGTGAAAGTGCGTAATATCACGAGCCGATATAATGAACGTAATTTTGCGCGAAAATACGCGTTTCATTGAACGGCAAACGATTATATCGCAGGCTCCCTCTAAATTCAGTCTTTTTTTTGCAAAAAGAGCCTTTCATAAAAGCTTTTTACAAAACGCCGACGTTTAAGTAATGGCTATTAATAACTTAATTTAGATAATTAGTTAATTAATGTAACTTTTTTATTGTATTAAATATTCTTTTATTTCGCATTTTGTGACTTTTCCCAATTATGTATACGTGAGACATATCTGTAGAAATATTTGTTATTGTATTACGGGAACGTTATGTGTGTGTATTAAATTCAGAGAGCGTCTGCTGACATGTATATGTATATATTTGAAATTCTCTAGCTCTCTGTTCTTTCGTGTTTTCATGCCGCCTCGTGCTGACCTTCCAACCGACGCGATGTCACAAAATACATACCCGAGGAGAGTCCGCTTATTGCGCTTTTCCGAAAGCGCAGAGCTCTCCATTATTATAACTCGTCTGCGCGCGACGCGCGTCAACCCCCGCGATGTTCGCGCTGCGAGTTATGAAATATCGCGAAAAGTCGGATGCATAGTAGGTCAGCGTTTACTACGTATTGGAGGAGTCTGCGCGATAATGAAAATGCGAGAGAAAGAGAAAGAAAATTCACCGTCGAAATTTTGGCGCCGGGCGAGTATAAGTTTTACTCGCCGCGTCGACGCGAAGAGAAATGTCCCTATTTTTTTGTCGGCGTTATGAATTATTATCTTATCGCAGGCACATCGGATGCGGTTCCTCCTTCTCTCTCTTTTTCACGCTTTCTCACTCCGATGAACCGGAAATTGGAAGAGTCTGTAGGTGGCGAAATAAAAATTAAAATCGCACACGATGACGTGTCAACACCTCCAGCTTCGGCATTCGATTGCTTTTCGAGAGCCGATTCAATGTCGTCTCGAAATGTTGTCATTCGCGATGAAGTCGATAATGATAACGCACCTGATGATTCTGTAAAAGTAACATGTAAAAGTAACGTGTAGTCCACGCGTTGTCTCACTGCAGCAGTATAATACATTAATAAATACTACAATATATTTTATACTGATCTGTACAGGATGTTTATGGAAACCGATAAATAGTAAAATATTTTGCGAATCGTTGGTAAAATTCCTGATTCAACCAGCGATTTATCTCTTTCAAAGAGAGATAAAAATAGAGAGAGAAAAAGGGAAATGTTTTATATAGAATAAATGAAATAAATGAAATAAATGAAATACAATAAATGAAATAAGATTCATAAAATATATAAAGGTGTTAATTTTCGAAATTAATTACTTAATTATTTAATTAGAATTTAGAAATTTTAGATTTGCTTTTAAATAATGTAATACAAAATAGAAAAAAAGTTTATTTTATATAATAATAATAGAGTAATAACTTTAATAATCTTCTATAAATAATAAAAAATTCATTCATTCCTTTAACTCCCAGTTTCTCGTGTGTGCAGAATATGTAGTAAAAGTATAAAATAAATAAATAGAAAAAAGACAAAAATAAATTAAAATATAATAACTTAATCTTATACCTTTTTGATGATTTATAATAATGGGAGGAAATTTTACAAAATTCTTCTAATTTCAAGTACTTTATTTATCTCGCTATGTTCATTTTCGCCTTATTGATGGATAAGACGCTTTGTCCATTCAATTTTTTTCTGTCAAAGTGATGAAACGAACATAGAGTTGGACCATTGGAGGGATTTAAGAGAGAAGTAATATTTCTCTAACTAGCGTGAGTTTATATTAAAAATCTTCTCGTATCTCTCTATCCGATTAATCCCTGCAAGTAATCTGTTCTGGATACAAGATTCTGAAAGTCTCTTAAATCACGCGGGTGATCTGGAAATATAGCGCTAGATAAATAGAGGACATCTTCTCCAAATATCTTACAGTGGACACGTGTTTCGTGCTACATTGAGAGATCTGTCAACTTTAAATTAAACCGAAGTTTCCCTTGCGTATTTGCGAAAACTTGGAGTCTCGCATCGAGATTGCGTGTATATACGCTCCTTAAAATATCATCAGCGTATATTTTACATCTTATATATTTTGCGTACATATAATCGATTTGAGCTCTTTAAGTTTTAAGCGCATCGATGAGATAGCTTGAATTACGGTAGAAAAAAGAAATTAGAATCTCGCGGAGATATACGACGACACGTTAACGAGGTGCGTTATTTCGGTGTTCGCGAAGAACGGGCGCGTCTTACCTTATGGCAAGAGGGGAAAGAAGAGAATCATATTTTATATCGACTCTCTTTCTCGATAACTGCCACCTGACTCTCGCATTTCTCTTCCTCGTCGGATCGACGGGAAAAACGAGAAGTTGACGGTGGAGCGCTGGGGTAAAAAGTCGGAAGGGGATAAAAGGGAAGAGAGAGAGAGAGAAGGGGAGAGAGATAGATAGATACATAGATAGATAGATAGATAGAGAGGGTGAAAGAGAGAGAGTACGGATAAAGCGATTCAGGAAATATCGAAAGAGGATATACGATGAGAATTAACTCGAGGTCGCTCCTCTTCTTTGCCCTTTCTAAGGGCGCGGCGCGCGATCGCACGTAGAAGTCACGTCGCGATGTTAGTGTGAGTCTCTGATTGTTTTTCGATATCGCGGCTAACCGGCTCTGGCTTATGGTCGTTGGCGATCAGAACGAAAAATAACGAGCGTGCCAATTAACGGATATCCGATGATGTATCTGTTTCTCTTTCCTTGCCTCTTTAAATTTTATCTATGTATCTCTCATACGCCGAGAGAGAAATGCGAAATAATTAATATTTATCAAAATAATAATATTATATAATATATAATATGATTTATTATATAAAAATATAATAAATAATATTTGTCTTGTACTGATACTTTATTTTATAATTGATATATCTCTTGTTGATTTTTAATAAAATAAGATTTTTCAATTAAATTTTATTATTTAATACTTTTAATACTTTCAATTATTTTTTAATATATTATGTTCGAAAAGATTTGCATAATGTTGCATTTTTTAAATGTATTCTTGCTTCGCAATTTTATATAATATTATTAAAATAATATGTACTGTATCTTTATGTACGCAACAGTAATTGTATTATTGTTATATCGTTGTGGCATTACATTATTTTTATTTCTACACGATTTCACAATGACATCTACAAATATATGTAAGAATAGGATAAATAGTCTCCCCTGCCCTTTCCGAGTTGGAAGAATATCTCTTCTCAACATTCGCACTTTTGCACACTCCGCAGACTTAGGCTCTTAGCCTAATCCAAGTAGTAGCACGTTGATCTCGTAAACAGAGCTCAGTATCGTCGAGCGAATTTGCATTTCAAGACGCAAGTTTTTTGTCTTTTTTCTTCTTTCTTTCCCCTTTTTGATACTCCAACTTGATGAAATAAACCACTTGATATATACATGTAGCCATTTTCCGTACCGATTCCTTATTCACGAATTCGTAGCACGCACACCGAACGCAATAGGGAAGGAGAATCATGCAATTTGCCATAGAATCATGTTTGCAAAAGGACACGCATTAATTAACAAATAGACGAATTTATTTTACACTTAATACACATATTTCTTTATGTATACATTATATCTTGCAGAAAATTCAAAACCCTTGCTCGAGAAACATTATTCGATTAATGCAAAATAATAGTTCTATGAATCTTGTTCAAATTCAACGATTTACATTAAAAAATGGATAAAATGTATTTTATTAATTTTAAATATTTTCAATATATTATTCCTCAAACAAAATTTTTAAAATTATCGTCAGAAATGCAAGAAAAAATAAACATGATTTTTATAAAAATCTGTTTTTAAGAATCTTCGTACTCTTATATTATTTTTAATCAATAAATATAAGCTTTAAGAAGTAGTTCAGTTATAGTAGTTCGTTATATATAGTTTAAGAATTACGTAAAATTATAAATGAAGAAAGCAATACAAAAGTGTTAAATAATTGATTGTTGCATTGTTTTTCTTGAACAGAATAATATTCTCAGATTTGCATTATCGCGATTTTATTAATTGTTTTAATGTATATGCGTTTCGTAAAATAAGATTTGCATCATTATACT